AAAATAAAATCAGCTTATATACATATTGTGATCCCTCGTTTCTACGTATTATAACAATCAAATGTTTTTTTTTTTTTTACTATTTTACGAACTGCGTGTTCCAAAACTTGTCCTAAACATCTTAAATAATATTGTGAAAGAAACTTGACTAAGTTTCCCCATTTCTATGTAATTGTTGTTGAGCAAAATCAATTCTAATATATGTGGCTTCGTGTATTCTGTGGTATGGCTGCTGCTTAAGCGACTCTCCAAACGACCATAACGCCCCTTCTAAGTCTCCCACAAGATGCTGGCATATGCCAAGAATCTGCCAGGAGATGTCTCTAGTGTCAAGAGGAATATATCTCCCATTATCATAGATCAGAAGTGTCCTAAGGTCCGTCATTGACTGTAGATACTGAGATCTATTACCTAATCTATGGTAAGATAACACAGACAACATTTCTACAATAACAAAAGGTGATAATTCCATGACTAGCTTTCCATTCTGTTGACACACACGTCGTTCTAATTCCAGTTCTTCAATGTAAGGAAAACCGTTCTCAAGAGAAAAACGTACGAGGTCTATCCATGCTAATTTCATCTTTCTCGATAAAGAAAAGTTGCAGACAATCTCATTAAATATTTTTCTATTAACAATGTCCGAAAACAAGACATACGGCTGCGATAGTCTTTGCTTAGTAAGATAAATGATATGCAGTGTCTTCTCATATCTCCCTGTTCTACAGTAATATAAGGCCAGGTATACTAAATGAGACACATGACCCAACCTTCCTGCCAGTTTCAGCACGTTACAAATCATTCTATCTAAGACGTACACATTTTTATGTGAGTAGCATGAACTATCGCTTGCCGATGCGAAGACTAGCCTGACGAGACATTCAGCCATACAGTACTGTAATACTAATAACTGGTATGGCGAAAACGATTTTTGAGATATTATACATGTATCAATGGATTTCAAGTATATACAATAAATCAAAATATGTGGTGCAGGAAGCGATATATTAAATATTTCTTTTACACAACACATATCTATATTTGCAATGGCTTCTTCCTCAACAGAGGATAATAAAAAGGACAGGCTACGAAGAGCTGGTTCGAGGATTAATCTGAGAGTTGGACTGAGCAGTAGACAGGATACCCCCATTCTGTAATAACGGTAGAGTTGTTGCAAAAGAGATCCACGAGCATTCCCAACTACTTTGTTTATGAACATGTTATTCAATGTAATAAAAAAATTCGGAAACACTCCTTGATATACACAATGAATAAGATATTTCAAACACTTCCAGAAGCAATCGAGTAAATTGTTCGGACACCATCTAATGTATCCCAATTGCATTTTTCCAGAATATGGTGGTCTTTATAAAATATGAACACAGTAATGGTTCCCTCCTGTGGTTGATAACTTCCTTCAAAAATATTTTAAGAAGTGCGTAACATAGAAATTGTGTACGATTCATTGTATACACCAATTGTTGTTCAGCTAGAGAAAAGGATATCCTCCATTCTAATTCGTTAGAAGTCGATTCAATTTTACTTCCAGTAGGCATACAATGAAAACCATTTCTTAGAATTTTTTCTAACACAGATACAAGCGGCCAGGTGTATTCTTGACATCTGTCAATCCAGCTTCTTGATGATATAGGCCAACTTGTAGTGGCAAAACAGAAAACATAATCAAATTCAATCGGACCGAGGAAACCGCTTGCACAAGGACCGTGGATGGAGAGATTTTCATATCGGAAAAATTTGTACATGCCATTTGAAAAATGATGATAATTTCTTTCTCTCCACAAAGAACTAGATATATAGAGACCGTCATTAAAGGGTAAAAGACATTGTTCTGTGAAATTTTGTGAGGATACCGAAAGGTGCAAAAGGCGTAATCTTACAAATCCTGGAGGCGTGTCAGAATCTTCCATGAGTATAATATCATGTTTTGATGTATTGTAAAACTGAGCTTGAGAGATGCCAACTATTAGTTTATCATGACAAAACCAAAACATTAGATCCAAATCAGATGATCGTAGCCTAAATCCCTCGCCATAACTTCCACTTTTCATCTGTACATATCCTATCTGCCTATAATATGGTTTCATCACCATTTCTACCATGTCCTGCACGTCCCTTCTAATTGCCACCTCTGATGGTGACCCTATCCTTTGACACAGGCCGGCATATAGGATCTCTGATACACGAGGGAGATGGTCCATTCTGTACAAAAAATTATGGTAAATCGATGTCCTTTAATCTTTCAAAATATTTATCATTATACATAATTAAATTATTAGCTTGAGAAGCGTATCATTAAGAATGCTTACCAAACAGTAATGCTGATCTGTTATTCATATTATATATAATAGCGAGCGCAACGAGCTCAATAGACTAACTAGTAAGAACAGAGGAATTTTCGAATGAAATCTGAGCATACCTTCGCATACGTCTGTCAAATTTCATGTGCAACATTCCCAGAATTCTTTTGCTCCCATGGTTCAATGCGAATTTATTTCAAAACATACAAAAGACCGGGAATTATTGTTCTTTACCAAGAACCGTTTACTTTACTGTATTTGCACCAACCTTAAAAGTAACAAAAATATTTTCATCTACTCTACAACGTATTTCATTAAATATTGCACAAGACCTCTAGTTTCGTTTAACTAGACGCTCGATTATCTCTGTAAATGTCGATGTCATATGACGTCACAGTCTAGACTTTGTCTCGTGCGGTTTGACGTTTGAAGAGGCGGATCAACGATTCAACTGTAAGATGTGAATAGGACTGCCCTCGCCCCAAAGGTAACATCGTGAAACATATTATTATTTAGAGTGCTGTAATGTTTTGATTATATTGTCAGATTGCAGTGATATCTTTAAAATGATTTTTAAGAAATATAATGCAGAAAATTTCATATATGTGTATGGATATATGTACGTGTATATACAGTAATATTTCAAGTAAAAATGTAAAAAAAAATCTATATCTAGTTAACTAGTAATAACTTACCTGATAAATGCCGCAATGTTAATGGCGGTCTTTACAACAGGAACATTTTCTGTTTCTATTAACGTTCATAAAACACGTGCTATGCAGGTCAAATTCCAATTCTTCCTGTCTTACTAATATTAGAAACATAAGAATCACGGGAAAAAGCAACCAAGAGTCCATCAGCACTTCTGATAAATGTTCATTTCCTCATTCTGGTTTATTTCCTCATTCATTTTGATTAATCTTAAGCATCTTAAATTCGTTAGCGATTTCAGGGACTTGCCAAAATCGAATGTTTTAAGCGCCATAACTACTAGTATATGACTAGTATATGATTGATATGATCAGTAAAAAATTGAGAGAAACTGTTGTTGCCAAGTAAAATTAAACCTTCAACATAGCAAAATTGATAACTATTATGGTAAATAAGCTTCCTCTCTAAAATTATTGTTGTAGTATACCCTTATGCTTTGGCACAGAAAAATGTGTTTTGTAGTAATAACTTAGGCGTAGAATTTTTTTTTTGAAATACGTGAAAGTGTCACAAAAACATTTTCTGTCTAAAGTATATGCATAAACTCTATATTGTTTAAGGTTGTTACCATCTACCATTATATACTACATTTGTTTATATTACCATGTCACATAACCTATTATTTGATGTTTGTTACATTTACTTATAATGCTATAAGATGTATGTCTTGGGCAATAAAGATATTATTATTATATTATTATTAATCTCTTCTTTGCTAGGGAACAGTTTAACAAAAGATTCTCTCAGTTCTCTCATAACATTTACAAAAAATTTTGACATATATTTTCGAAACAAAATGTAACAGTCTGTATTCGACTCTCTCGAGTAGAATAAAAATATAAAGATGTAACACGTGATTTTACATAAGAAAAAAAAGTGACGATCAAAGTCTATAATATAAAGATTTGTTACATCCTAACAGTCAGCCTACAAGTTTTGAAGGATGTATAGAATGTGTTTAAGTCGTTTACATTACTTTAAAATGAAGCGTTAATCACAAGAAAAAAATAATGATAGTACTATTGATTATAATTCCCTTTTTAACTTAATTTCTGCAAAACAATTTTCAAGAGCCAAAAGAGATTTTAAGAGATTTTATGACATGATGAACCGAATTATGAAATGAAATAAAAGAAAGTGTTAAAGATATTTATTTGAAACAAAGATAATATTATTTACCGTTTCATGTAGACTCATACACAAAGTGTACGAATGAAGTGTAAAAAAGATTTGTTTACCGTATCCGCAAATTTATTTTAAACAATATTCCAAAAGCCTATAATATATATATATATATATATATATATATATATATATATATATATATATATATATATATATATATATATATATATATATATATATATATATATATATTGGCATTTCTTAGGGTACATTTAAAGTACCTGCCTTAGAATCATTCTAAGAACTTAATGAATACACTTTCTACACAATATAAAGAAAAAACATACAAACACGGCACAACTTCGCTAAAAAAAAATCCCACGTGACTCAAGGTTAAATGCAAAACTACTAGTAAGTTGATTTTCAAATATGTGACTCATAATATTATATTTAAATTTCGTATATTTTTCCTTATTAAATTCATAAGAAATCCACGACATTTAAATTTCTATAACACACGCGAAACCTTGTCACCGCGCGTTAGAATACTAAGTAGGAACTACATGCATTTTCTATAACTAGGAACAACAAAATGTACAATGTTTTGACTCAATTTAATTAAAAACTATAACCCTGTTAAATTAACGTAAAAATACTACAAATGTGCGTTTAAAATCAATTTGTCACTTTTTTCCTCGCAATGTTTATTTGCGTTATTTAACTTTGCAACGTCATCTGACGTCACAAGCGGCTCTTACGTCTATTAACCACGTCAGCTTTGAAGGGCGCTAAATTCACAATAAAGATTAACCGTTACGAAATAAGCAATTATGAAGAAGGAAAATTAGAGAATGTAAATATAAGCATTAAATTCATATTTTTGGCTGTCTTCGGTTCTATAACACATCTGGCTGTGCGGACAAATTTATCATACCGCGCTAACGCGCGGTATTCGATTTGTCGGGACGGCCAGGTGTGTTATAGGACCTAAGACAGCCAAAAATATGAACCCAATGCTTAAAAGGTGACACAGAAAAAAAGGACAAACATTGTGACGTATATAAGGTTTAGGCTTGGCATAAACTAATTTTTCGATAAGTGATAGAAAATCCGTTGGCACTTAAAACTCACCTTATTTTCTTACGTACAAAAGTAAAGAATTCTAAAAATATAAATCAAAATGCGTGACATTCAAGGTACCCTTTTTTCACTGATGAAAATTGCAATTAGGCGGGACAAGGATTTTTTAAATTTTAAAATTTATCCCCCCCCCAAAAAAATGAAAATCTAAATGCTATACTACAAATTTGTCCAATTCCATGTCACTATTTAAACATATACAATGATTCCAACGGACAAGTGTTATTCAATATCGTCCCTGTTTGCAAGGAACTCATTATTAAACTAGTAACTGTATTTTAGAAAAAATTAATCCTTACAAAAAAGGAAAAAATGAAGGGTAAACCATATGCTCTACTAAATCCACATCATTACTTCTTAAAAATATATTAACTGTTGTTAAAGAGAGACTTCAGCCATGATGTTCTACAACATATTCTTAAAGAAGCGTAAGTCAGATGTGAATACTCAATCAAACTCCAGAGAACCTTTGGATTTTTTTTTTAAATCGCCGAATTTGTCCACTCCAAAGCATCGAAACGTGCGACTTTTCAAAAAGATCTTAAACGAACATTGCTCAAATTTAATTGTTCGACAGTTTAATGATCAAATAATGATCTAACAATTAGTATGAAAAATGTCAGTTAGCATTTGCCTCAATAATTCATATCAACGAATAATACTGTACAGGTTTATACATGATTATATAACGTTTCATTATCTCGATTAACTTCATGCAGCAAATTGTACTCCCCATCTGGATCGACATCCAGCACATGCGCATGGTCATATGTTTCATTATCATCGTGACAAGTCATTTTTGGCGCACCATATTCATTCTCTATTTCGACGGTATGGGCGTAGGTGTCATCGTTGATCACCTTTTGGGACTCATATTGGCTTCCTGTCGCGTGACTGTAAAGGTCATCCGTTTTTGACGTCATACTATTGTTAACCTGATGGAGGTGATCGTAATCTTCCTCGGGTTCTTTTCGAAAGTAATCATTTCCTACGGATAAGTCATACATTCCGTTCGCAGTATCTTCTTCATTCTGCTCAGAATAATTGTTTTCTTTTCCTTGATGTTTCTTCTGCTTAATTTCTTCTATTGCTTTTGAATTGTTCTCTGTCCCGTGTTTGCTTTGGATAAAAACCTTTTCGCTGTCGTTCAGATAAGTTGCGTTACCTGTAGTGATTGATGGAGTATCACGCTGATTTTGATGTTTGTTCGACTTCTTCCTAAACGCATCAAAATAGGTAGATATGAAAAAATATGATTTTTCATATTTTTCTTTCAATAATATTACAAATATATTCAAAATGTAATTCTTTATTAAAACTGATGATTTTGTCTTCTGTTACCGTTTTTATAGATGCATGGTTAGTTTTAAATGTACAGATATTTAAACAATAAAATGCTTTCTTTGTTTGTTGTTACTGGAATAAACGGAAGCAGCTGTTGCAGAAAAAATACATAACCCGCGAAAGCGGGTTATGTAAATTTTGTCTGCAATAGCTGCGACCGTTCATTCCAGTAATAACAAACAAAGAAAGACATTTTATTGCTTATATTTATATCTGTTTAAATTATCATTTTAAGTAGGATTAAAAATATTAATTATTGTGTTAATGATGCGAACGTCTTTGTAAGTTTCATTGATGGAACGGCCACTGATCAAGAAATCTGTACAGGTGATATGCCTAATGTAGTTCATGCAGTGATGAACGCAATGGGTTTTCTTAAGAAATAAAGAAGAAATATTCAGTGGATGTAAATATACATGTATATGTATACCATTTATAGCAAAACAGGAAAATAAGGATGCCAAGAAAAATAAGTAAAGCACAGGCGACAAGAACTCCAACAAGTGTATCTACAAATAAAATAAATTAATGAGCATGTATATGAGCAAATAATTTGCATTCAACATTTGTTGATACTTACACTTGTTGATGGACTGCCAAATCTTTTTTTTTTATAATTATCTAGGATAATAGCTCTGTTTCAGTATTGAATCACCCGCTTCCTCCGAATTATTTTTGCCGCCCCGCTTTTTCGAAAGCGATGGTACATCAAATATTATTCGTTTGTCAGTCTGTAGCTCTGTCAGTCTGTCACAAAAACTTTAACCTTGGTCATATGTATTGAATGAGAAAAGATAGGACTTTTAGATTACGTCTGTTTATTACCTTTGACAAGACATTTTTAATGCATCATGATTTTTTACCCCCTTGACATTGACCTTGGAATTTTAACTACTTTTTCGAAATTCAAACATTACTTGAAATTGACCAAAACTTTTGAATGAAAAGAGATACATACACTAAACATGTGTATTTCCTATGACAAGACCTTTCTAAATACACTTGGATTTTGACCCCGTAACTATGAAGTTTTATACACTTTTCAAAATCTTTAAACTTTTGGTTGAGGAGATTAAGGGTTTGACCTTTTACATGTACATATATATTACCTGTTAAAAGACCTTTCTAAATACATAATGAATTTTGACCATTAAACTTGACATTGACCTTTGACCTACGTATCAAAATTGTTTTTCCTTATAACTTTTCATAAAGAAGAGATAGGACTTTTTTTTATTTCAGATATGCATTACCTGTGAAAAGATATTTAAGAGCAAGCTATTATTTCTTACCCCTTTATCTCCATATTTGACTTAATTTAAAAAAAATCAACATTGGTAATAACCTTTGAATGACATGTGATAAAGCGTTCATATTTGTCACAATATACATAAATAGTACCATCTTACCTTTTTTGCGTCAGAAAGTGTAACTTATAGAAAGAGAGAATAAGTGAGTCAGACTGGAATTGGTCAATACAATCAAGATATTTTATCATAGTTTCGAAAAAAATCATAATAAGACATCTTTCAAATTTGATAAGGAAATTTCATAAAATTACTGTGAAATCTTAGCATAAGAAATGTGTCTGTTTTTGTGTATGGGCTTGATTCTTGTACTAAAAACTTGTTATAATTCTTGCATAAGAGATCTCATCGTCAGTCATCACCTCAAACACACTTGAAAATAGACACATTCCCTAAAAAAAGATTTTAACTTGCCACTGGTGGAATCTATGTGTACAGGATTAGGCTTAGACACCGAATTATGCTCGTTCATTACCACACAAAAAACCTTCGGTCTACTAATATCTGGAATAAATAGAAATCTATATTTAAGTAGGCTTATCATTAATATGTTGTACATTTTTTTTAAAACTTGTGATTATAATTCAATCTGTGTATTTTAATATTTATTACAAAATGGCCTTTCTCTAATTCTATAAGGATGATGTAAGAAAATATATTAAGGTTTCGTCAAAGGTCAACATGACTAAAATTTATTTTTACAATAGCTCCAAAACTGTGTGTGGTATAAAGTCAAAACGTTTACAGTTTATAAATATATCATTGATTAATAGATAGAAAGTATCGCTTGCGTGATAACAAATATTTCTAAAAAGATATTTAAAAAAAAAAACTGTATCAGAAAATGTGCATATTTAAAGAAAAATGCACCTGCTTGATTATGTCTTTTTTGTGAAAACCATCATTGCAGAAATGAAATAATATATGGTTATCATTGAAGGGCAAGTTGGACGTGAATGGTCTCTAAAAGGCTGTTTTTAAACGCATGGCATGTGTAAGACAAGGCCCCTATAAAATATGCCATTTGCGACAAAATAAACAGGGAAAACAACTTTCCAGAGGTTATCCAAGTCCAACTTACACTTCATTGATAAACATATTTTGTTTCTGCAATAAAGGTTTTCACCAAGAGCGCGGAATTAATTAGGTGTATTATTTGAAAATATATGCATTTTTAAGAATAACTTTAACAATATTTTTTCCAAGTATTTTTTTATCAAGTGATACTTTCTATCTATTAATCAATTATATATTTATAAACTGTAAAAATTTGAACTTTATACTGTACCCAACATAGTTTTGGGGCTATTGTAAAAATAAATTTTTGGACATGTTGACCTTTGACGAAACCTTAAGATTTATCTTTAACTATTAAGATCTTTCAGATACTTACTAGTTTTCCTTTCACAAACAAAGGGTCTAGTTGAATTTGGTTTAAAGGACACCCAAACAAATGCATAATTTACACTGAGATTCTTGTAAACCTTCACTTTGGTTGGATGTTTCTTCAACACTTAAATGAAGATAAAAATTAAAACATCTTTTAAATATATTCGATCAGTGCATACTATTAGTTCAAGATATATTACTGTAGTCAGCGGCGACTCACACAAATTGTTCCGACGAAAATAGTTCCATCATGATAAGTAGATACAACATAATTGTTCATGATAAGAATAATGCTGTGTATGTCATACGTAAAAGAAACCAAAATTAATGTTAATTTTTCCTCCAAAGATCACTTTTCCCCCTAAATGTAAATAAAAAATGTTAATATTCCTACGCTCGCTCCCTCCTCAGCTTTTTTAAAAATATATTCGATCAGTGCTTAATATCAGTTCAAGATATATTACTGTAGTCAGCGGCGACTCACACAAATCGTTCCGACGAAAATAGTTCCATTATGATAAGTAGATACAACATCATTGTTATGATAAGAATAATGCTGTGTATATCATACGTAAAAAAACCATCATTAATATAATTTTTTTCTTCAAAGATCACTTTTCCCCCAAAATGCAAATAAAAAATATTAATATTCCTACGCTTGCTCCTACCTCAGCTTTTTAGACGGTGGCGATATATAGCTACAGGCTATTGCTGCTGGTCTGGGCTATGAGTGTAAACACACGGGGACCCTAGCGGCGATTTTTGCAGAGTCAAAATAATTAAAGTAGACTTATTTCGATGTTTGAAAATAAAATGTACATAGTTAACAAATACTACGTATGAGAAATACCATCATCGCAAACCACGGCCAAAATGTACGATCTTCTCCCATTCTGGAGAGAGCTCCATACGCATATATACAGACTCCAACCGTGACTTGAGACGACGGAAAATAGAGACAGAAAAATATTTTGTATTCTGTTTTTCTCTTTATACGAGGGTTGTCATGTACAAAGCGTTTTTCTCGAAAAATAGTGGGCGCTGCAAGATTAAATTTTTAGCAAGTATTTATTTATTCTATTTAATTGTATCTTTGATAAAATATAGACAAAATTTTAATACTTTATTAACATGGTTTAATGTACTTACGTGCGATAAAAAAAACCGGTTTAAAAATAATACACGAGTATTGTTTCGAAATAAAAGTATTAGAAAGACTTTGGTAAACATTATCCTATTTTTTATTCACTATCTACTGTGTCGTCTTTTGGAAAATTTAAGGACATTTGCTTAATTATCGGCAGTTTATCAAGCATCCGAAATGGGAAATTGGTAAACCCAACACACACAAAAAAAAAAACCGGCGACGTTGGATGACGATACTACGCACTGGAAAGCAATTAAGTTTTTTCCTCTTTAGTGTACTAGAGAAATGGGATTTTCTAGGCGAAATCGTTTTAATCAAATCCATGGTTAGAACAAACAGCTACAGGAGCAGCGGAAGGCGCTGTCAATGTTGAAAGCTAATATATATAAAATTATTTAGTTGAAAGAGAGTAAAAATATTGTCCATAACTTTATACAATGTAGTACTAATAAATCTTCACAAGGTCCCTTTTGTGCGCAACATTGGTTTCTGGTTGTTATTTGAAGGATTAAGGGAAACTCAACTATGTGCATTGATGAAATTCCTCAATTTTAATGGGAATTATCCGACTTGTTTTTAGCAAAGAGGAAACTTGACGCTGCTTTAGACACTTTGATTTTGTAACATGTTTGATAACAGAGAATATCTGGGTCATTCTTCGATTGATATCTTTTCATCGATGAATTGATTATACTATATCAACAATATTAATTGTATTAATTTCATGTTAATTGTTCGTTAATTATCATATAGTTTCCTCTTAGAGAGAGAAAAAAAAAATCATTCTGTGTGTGTACTCGTAATATCAAATGATTTTCAATCCCTGGCCTGATTCTGCTCGTGTGTAGACTGTGTAGGAAGCGTAGTTATAAAATGTGTAGCAAACACCGAACCGGGTCGGAGATTTCTAAACTGAAACCGGGATTGTATTGAAGTTCAGCATATTATGTTATATAGAATTTGAATTATGTAAGTAAGTTCCGTGACGAATACATTAGTATATTTAATTTTAAAAAAAAACGGTTTCAGTTTAGAATTCCCTTTCATGCAGCTGTTGTGAAGAAAAAGGTACTTCAAAACAAAGCAGCATACCGGAATTCCTTCCATAAAATACATGTCAAGATTGGATTTACCGCCTCAATCAGTCAATGATATGAAGAATACAATCGGGTTCGGCGTTCAAGAAAATTATAGATTTGAAAACCAATCCGGAAATAATTTTCCCGGAATCCAAGACTGGGTTATGTTATAGACTCTACCCTTTGTGTTGCAGATGCAAATGTTAAATCAAAATTTACTGAGTAGTTCAGCAGGGATTGTATAATTTTTATTAATCAGAATTCGTATTCATATGATCTAAAAAAAAAGTTTTGTCTGCCATCGTAACTTCTCGGAAAAAAAACAAAACGTGTTTCTACGAGGTCGCTAGATGCGTTTGACACTTCCATCGCACGTATGTAGACCAAGGCTAACTGGTCTTGCGGACACAGGTATATGTGTACTGTTTGTTATGAGACTGGGTGACCGTAATGCTACGGACCGGACTCACGAAAGGAGTATATATGATAAGAGCCAATTTTGGCCCGCTAAAAATCAACATTTCAGAATGACATTCAGATATGTTTAATTGATATTTATTTTGTAGAAGAGATTATATTAGAAATATTTCCAATATATTTGTCACATTTATATGCACTCACTAGCTGTAAATGACATTATAAATAATGCTATTTTTGTTATCTAGCAAAGAAGCCAAAAATATGCCTTTTCCTTGATGTTTTTTCTTATGGGAAACATAGAGCGCAGTGTAGAACATACATAATTTTTCTGTCACTAATAAGTTTTGGATAGATACATTTTTGGTAAAAAATATAAAGCTTGTTCTAGGCTGCGCTCTATATTTTCTGGAAGAACAAAATATGCTAAAATGGCGGGAAAAACGTGGTTTTTATGATGTCATATTTATAAAAAAAAAAAAAAAAAAAACCGGCATTTTGATCAAAATGAAAATGACCATTAAAGGTCGCATATAAAGCTGTACAAATTAAAGCTATATATAAAGTAAAATTAAAATATTCATTTTAAGGGGGGACCTATGTCCGAAAAGTCTTTGTGTGAAATTTTCAAAACTTTGACATTTCCTTCCTGGCCACTTGCTATTAATTTTTAGGTATTAAAAACAATACCTCTATATGCTCATTTTTACACAGGATCACGTGCAAAAACAGTGTGAAATGCTAAAAATAGATTATTTTCAGACATTATTGTTCTACTCCAAATATGCGCTAAAAAGAACCAAAAATGTCAAATCACATTCGAAATCAACAGGTATTTAATTTATATGACTTAAATCTTTAAAATGAAGGCAATTTCATTGCAATTCATTGCGCATGAAAAATTATAAATGAGCACAATGTAAGTATCACCCCGTTTTTCTTGTCGTATTTTTTACAATTCCGACATGCATAACAGGTAATATTTTAAAAAAAGTCTTTGTGTGAAAATGTTGTAATTCATATTTTTTAAAAGAAATGACCCCTCTCTTTATTTTAACAAAGAAAAAATATACCTTTATGATAAAATAAACGAGAAATATGACGTTTTCTTTTATTTTCGTACTCTTTTGTCATTAATATTGACCTTTCTGCACTAAAAAAAAGGTAAGTAAGCACTGACAAACATCTGAATATAAAACTATTTTGCAAAAAACGAGTATTTTGTTTTGATTAGAAATAATTTAAACAAATAAACTCTTTTCTTCTTCATTCTAATCATCCCCCCCCCCCCAATTTCCCCGTCAACAACCAACACCTAATAGAACCTAGGAATGACTTTATACAATAAAATCTACATATACTATAAATCAATAAGTAAATACAGGTACAAGTACATTTCTGATTTTTTTGTTAGTTTTATCAAGGAAATACAATAAATGGTAAACATGAAATTAAACAAATTTCCCTGATTTTAGGCGCTTTCTTTGCTGAATTTTATCTTATATTTTTTGGCGCTTTTATGTCAGTATATCATGGAGATATTTCTTTACCACTGAAATTGCTATGAATTATCAACCAAAAGAGAATTCTAATATTAACAAACTCCATAAATCAAATAAAACTGTTATAAACATAAATGATAAAAAAAATTCTTGTTGTAAACTGTGTACGTTTTTGATTTTATAACAATGTTATGCCTATAATCACAGTTGCAAAAGTCTGCGGAAAAAAAAACAAACGTCGCTATTGTGACGTCACATAACGCTGCTTTGACGTAGAACGACATAGGTCCCCCCTTACGGGGCCAATTAATTGAGACACTTACCATATATTGCTCTTTACACCAGTTCCATAACTCGACACTAAGATAGTGCAGTTTATTTTATTTTTGTTATAAAAGTCATTAAACACTGTTAAACATATTTAAATCTAAAAGTCGAATATCTTTGGATATGGGGTAACCCATATCCATTCTTATTTAAACATGTTTGATAACAGAGAATATCTAGGTCATTCTTCGGTTGATATTTTTTCACTGATGTATTGATTATACTATATCAACAACTGTAATAAATATAAAATCATGTTAATTGTTCGTTAATTATCATATAGTTTCCTCTTAGAGAAAAAAAATCATTCTGTGTGTGCAGTATATTAAATGACGGAATTTTCAATCCCTGAGCAGATTCCTACACGTGTGTAGACAAACTTACACATAGGGCGAGTACCTATAAAATGTGTAACAAAACCCGAACTGGCCGGGGATTTCTAAACTGACAATCGTTTAATTTTTATTAATCAGAATTTGTATTCATGTGATCTAATTATGAAAAAAAGTTCTGTCTGCCATCGTAAATTCTCTGTTCGCGGGAGTCCGTTTGACAACTCCATCGCACGTGTGTATAGACCAAGGCCAACTGGTCTTGCGGACATAGGTATGTGTACTGTTTGTTAGCATGGTTAGGAGAGTGGGTGACCGTAACGTTATGGACTCACGAAATTTACACAAGTTCTATAACAAGAATAGATATGGGTTACCCCATATCCAAAGATATTCGACTGTTAGATTTAATATGTTTAACAGTGTTTATAATGACGTTAATAAAAAAAAACTGCACTGTCTAATTATGGAACTGTTGTAAATATCGTGATTCCATAGCATTACGGTCACCCAGTCTCCTAACAAACAGTACACATAGGCCTACATGTACCTGTAGCCTTGGTCTACACACGTGCAATGGAGCTGTCACACGCATCCAGCGAGCTCGGAGAAACACGTTTTGTTTTGCCGAGAAGTTACGGTGTCAGACAAAACTTTTCTTTTCTTAATTAGATCATATAAATACGAATTCTGATTAATAAAAATTATACAATCCCTGTTGAACTTTATATAGTTTGTTCTAACATTTGCATCTGCAACAACTTGTGTTTAAAATGGCCGGGTTGGGAAAATCAGGACCGGGTCGGAAAATTCTAAACTGAAAACATGGAAAACCTTTTTTGTTTTGAAAATAACTGAAATATACTAATATATTTGTCGCAGAAATTACTTACATTATTCAAGTTCTATATATAATGGTATGCTGAACTTCAACACGAACCCGAATCTCCAACCCATGCAGTTCTCGTTTTGCCACACATACCCTACAGTTTACAAAGGGCTTGGTGTAAAATGCGGAGGATGGAGTCTCCACAAAACTCCAAAATGGAGGGTCAGAGAGTGCAAGGGGTGGAGCCTCTTGTGTCAATTTTTATACATTTGCCCGTTTTATCTTTCAATCATTTTAGAAGCTGGATACAACTGGGTTCCTTGTAGAGCTCTCCATCAGTGATAAAAAGTGTCTGTCAGAATTAATTACTGAGTCTAGATACTGGTATGTCCCAAAAATTTTATTGCAGATAATTATGTCATGCATAACATATCGCAGATCACTTTGTCTGCAAATTACCAACAATTAAAAAGTATATTTCATAATTGCTGTAAAAACTACAAAAGCTTTTGTATGTGTAAACCACAAAAAGAAGATACAATTAAATTACAACTGAAAATGAAATTTAGCACAAAAAAAGGTAACATGACTTTCAATTATATCAACAACAAATGAGGGGACAATTTTTTGTCATCTTTCCCTAGAAGTTTAGGTAATCTAGCCCTTAGCAATTTTATCATTTGGCCCTTCAGATATTTGATACCTATACTAATAAAATCTGTCAAGACCTCATGGGTTACTGCGAGATAGCAGTGTGAATCAGACAGTTTCCAGTGCACTTGGCATCTGTGATATCGCAAAACAAAATTTAAATCACAAGCACGGGCTGCATGCCCCTCATTTGTTTCTCATATCTGTAGGTCATTTCGATTCTCATTTTGTTGTCTCTTAATCATGATGCTTGTTTCTCATTCTTTTTAGAGCAAAAAAATAAAATAAAATAAAAACAGTTAATGGCCAGAGTTCTCTAATAAAACAATCAGTTCATTTACTGAATCTATTATTTAATTATTTTTAATTTTTCTAAAATGGTATAATATTTCTGAGTGAATAATGACATCACGGCACATTTCCAATTTCGGACAGTGTCTTCAAAAACAATATCCGATTTCAGATGGTAATAGGTGTTTTGTAATGAGGCCGATATTCCTTGACACCTTTATATACATATCAGTCAATTTATATATATCTGTATATAATATCACCAAAAGATAATAATTTTGATGCCATTCTGTTTCAGTCAGTCTCTGTTATCGTTAAAAATTAAATGATAAGCAAAGCTGTTCCCCTCGATGAAATGTGGTGTTCATTATTTTTTTTTATTACCGTTTCCTGTTTCTTTGTTTCTCATTTTGTATTTTAAAGACTTTATAAACAAATGTCATCAGATACTGTCAAATGGTCATCACAAAATCAGATTGGGAGATATAACTGAGTTTCATTCACTCAACTTCAATGAAATTATTTTTTTTTAATTGTTTCGGTAATGTAACACTCTAACACTTTCTCACGGAGTATCAGAAAATGAGATGACAGATCTAATAAGCATGTGCTAAATTTACGACAAGCACTATGCTCCACCTCCTTCATCATCTAACACAAGAGGCTCCACCCCTTGCACTCTCTGACCCTCCATTTTGGAGTTTTGTGGAGACTCCATCCTCCGCATTTTACACCAAGCCGTTTACAAAGTGTACACACGAGCAGGCTAGGGATTGAAAATTCCGTCATTTAATAATACACACACACAGCTGCTAGAATGATTAATTTTTTCTTTAAGAACAAATTGTATGATAATTAACGGACTATAAACATGTACTTAATACAATTGTTGATATAGTATTATCAATTCATTGGTGAAAAGATATGAATCGAAGAATGACCTAATTATTCTCTGTTATCAAACACGTAAAAAAAAAAGGCTGAGGAGGGAGCGAGCGTAGGAATATTGATATTTTTTATTTGCATTTCGGGGGGAAAGTGACTTTCTAATGATATTTTGACGTTATTTTTGATTTCTTTAACGTATGACATACACAACTTTACTCTTATCATGAACAATAATGTTGTATCTACTTATCATGATGGAATTATTTTGGTCGGACCAATATGTGTGAGCTGCCGCTGAATACAGTTATATATCTTGCAAAGATAGTATGCATTGATCGAATATATAGACTAGACAGTGCAGTTTTATTTTTATAAACTCATTAAACACCGTTAAACATATTGAATCTAAAAGTCGAATATCTTTGGATATGGGGTAACCCATATCTATTCTTGTTATTCCTGGAAACGTTTTTTTCTATTTAGGTCATTAATCCTCTGTTCTCAGGTAACATTTTGCTTGAATGCTATTGATTTGCATTTACACACATATCATTATTACTTTCTTGACAACAGAATATAATATTATTGTACTTAATAAATTCCAAAAATATATATTTATTAACAATCAGCAATAAACCTCAAGTCTAATTTGCAAAAGAATATGTTGAAAAACTCAAGTTTTTTTTTAACTACAAAAAGAAAAATTTTACTTGGAGAAAGGTATTACTATTTGAAAGCGATATTTCTGTATGAATCCAACTTTTTCGATTTTTTTGATTTGTCGTTTGATTTTTCATTTGTTCAAGAAATAAAGTCCGCGTTTTCATGTATGTTGCAGGATAACCTCAGAGGTCAAAAATGTTGTTTGAAAGATACAAGCCAAGGCGTTAGCCGAGGGTTTTACATTTCAAACAACATTTCGAGACCGAGGAGGTTATTCTGCATCATTCAGGACATCAAGGATTTAATTTTTATTCAACTAGGATCTCTAAAATACGGCTTGTCGTACAATAACAAATCCGTTTTCTATTTTTTTTTGATTTATCACTAAGATCACGGGGTTAAAACATGGTGTAGGGATGTCCGTGGAATTGCCTCGCTTAGCTTTAAAAACCTACATTCTTCAGCTACTTTAAACAATTTACACAGTGTTTCGACTGTAAAAGACGACACATCTATGAGTCTAAATACCAGTAAGTATTTCATTTTAGAGTAAAATATTTATTTCAGCTGTACATGTTTGATACATGTTTCAGATCTGATAATATCTGATGACTTACGTGATTTATTGGAAATTAAATTTCTTTGATCTCGGCAATAATCATGGTAGAATAAAAGAAATAATAACACCTACAGGATTTATATTGCTCAATATAAAAATCACTTGAGCTGAAAAATATCGTAATAAAATGATTTCCCAATTTTCGTCATCGTTGAGTAACATTAGGATAATATTTCACCATTCTGACTCACTTACGAATCTCACTCTCAACAAAAGTGGCAATGAACTCACTATTTGTAGCCGTCCCTCTCATATGTGGCCTAACAATTCCTGTCCATCTCACCGATTCAGATGAGAGACAGGGAAGATATGGTAATTGTTGATGATTGATCGCATAACTGCTCAGCTTTTCTTTGCATCTCTCATTTTGATTCATCCAATTCAACTTTAAATCTACACGTAAATGAGATTGTTAATTAGAAGGTACACTCTTCATAAAAATAGATGATGTACTTGTTTCTTAATTTCTGAACTTAACTAAGATTGATATATGTACATGTAAATATTGTAATTTGTGAGCTTTATCGAAATATTTCCAAACGATATTTTTCCATGCATTAAACATTCTTCCTGTCTAAAGCATTTCTAACAAGATGTCTTTGTGAAACACTATGTGCCGGGCGGCAATATAATTCTAAAAAGCTATTTTTAGCATGTAGGTCACAGTCAAGGTCACAAGGTCATTGACGTTGGTGTCATTTGAACGAATTGAAATAGTGAAGTATGCATACCAAATATGAAGTCTCTACCTTTCATCGTTCAAAAGTTATGGCGAAGGTTAAAGTTTGCAGACAAACAAACAAACAAACAGAGAGACAGGCAGGACAAAAACAATATACGCCTAGGATCTATCGATCCGGGCGCTTAAAAATAGATAATTTATTGCTATATTGCTACTGAATACATGTATACTATAGCAAATTTCTTATTCGTAAAAAGATATTGTCAGAATATCGTGCATAATGATTTGAAAACTCGGTGATACAAGCTTTATAAAAGCTATAAAAAGATCATATGCTTGTGTATTTATTTAAAATCTGCAATCTTGTTGTTTCTCAAGAGAAAGATTTTTCCCATTAATATGGTACATTTACTTTTGCACTTGAGCAAATGTGTATGAGTATTATTGCTTAATAATTGTGCAACTTGTACCTATAATTTTATGAGAATATTTTTATATAACATTTGTCCTGAATATTTTTATATAAAAGTTGGCTTAAGCTTTGTCATTATATAAACCCTTTTATGGCGTTAGCAATAATCGTTTGAAAAATAAGCAAGGTTTTAAACTTGATTTTGGCAATGATTGCCAGGAATGTTTTGAGAAAAACACAATGCATCCTGATATTTCTAGGTGCACGTTTGATCAGGTTTGTGTTCAAATTCTTATTCTTGATGTTATGCTTCGGTGATAATGATGTGGCAAGTAAATTGACAATTTGTGTAAATAAGTTTTGGAAATCTATTTCATTTATTGCGATCCAAGCCTTTTCACTTTGAATTAAATGTGGCAGGTCTTTCGGACGTAACCTTAAATACCTATCCCCGTGTCACGACAGGCGTTGGCACGAAGAGGATCCCTTATTTCTCAAATGCCCTGAATGCCATGCAAAGTTCTAAATTTAAAGTCCATCACCAGTAAAATCTAAGTCCTTCTGTGGAATTAGTTAAGGCTTTCGAGCTATGATTTTAAGATTATCTTAAAACTAGCTTGTCGGTACGATATAAAGCGGTGAACTATAAGTAAAAGATATTGCAGAGTCCAACAGATCCGTTTCATATTTGGATATTTTACAAGATAAAGATATTAATAGTTTTCTAACAAGAAAATAAGCTTATGATAAACATAATTACCAGAACTATTCAATCGTCAACTTCCTTTACTCAGAAAAATACCTTTTATAATATTTTGCAGAAATGTACTTTTGTCACCTGCAAAAGGGATGCATATATCTCAGTTGATTCGATAAGCAAGATCATGCTCTATGTCTAATTTTTTTCAAAAAATAGGTAGATTATTGACAAACATGTTGATGAATAAAAAAAATTCAGAAACCTCGTTAAAGTCTTCATTTCGTATGTTCTATCTTCGATCGATGACCTTATTAGCAAATACAATCACTTATTAAGTCAAATGCTAATTGAAGTTTTTAATAATAATTGTTAGGCCATTGTTTAGACAATGAATTGTTGACAGATTTAAATTTTCCCATTATTTCCCAATCATGACAAGAAAATATGACGAGTGGGACCTGTAGGTAGGCGATGCTCACTCCTCCATGGCACGCGATCCCACCTCTGATGTTTTAGAGGTTCGCGTTTTTTTTTTACGTGTGTGCTCTTATTCTGATTTGTATTGTTTGGATTGACTTTTCAGCGTGAATGCTGTTCGTAACCTCTTATATTTCATACATTACGTGAAGATATGTTTCGAAGAAAAAGATCGTCACGAAAGACAACTGCAGAATAGAAATTTTTTTAAGTTCCTTTTACCTAGTGAATACTAAAATAAATAACTTATTTATTAAAGTCTCGTAGAAGATTTATCCCCCTTGACAAACAATTGAATTTGTAAATACATGTATATTAATGATGATCTTACTCTGTTTCGAAAGTATATTGTATAAAATACTATGAATACCTGGTTGATTAATTTTTATCCGGATATCATCAATGGCAATATCTCCGAGAGTACCTTCTTTTCTATTTGCCGATATATATAACTAATAATAAAAATAAATGAGTATAAAGTTTAAATAAATTAAAGCTTACTAATGAAAAAGGTGTAAATAACGTACAATATTAAATAAGGAAAGGTCGAGCTAAAGTTCGTTTCTAATTCATTGTTTGAAATTAAAAGGTTTCGAAAAATGTCCAACTCTAATAACATACAATGTACAACTAACTTAATCTTCTGTTGTTCTATTAAATACAATGCAGACAATTCAACCTCTTAATTTGTTACATACACAAGACAAATATGTTTACGAAATATATAACTGTACATTGTACGTATTGATTTTTCTTAAGAACAAAATTGTTCTCTTTAAATAAATGCATCTGTATTTTTTTATTCTACTAATTAGAAAGAACTTTTATTACACTCTATAAAAATACAACATTGAAGGAATATACCTTCCATCTTCCTTCTATTTTTCTTGTATCATTCAGTAGTCTCCAATCTTTTCCTTGATTCTCCTTTTCTCTAAAAATTCGTTCATTCCTTCCGTTCTTTAGGTAAACTTTTAGTGTGTTAATGTCTGTACCATACATATTGTACTCCATACTGAAAGTTATATTGATGTCTGAAAATATGAATGAAAATAAAAGTTTCTTATTGTTCGCTGTTATTTCATATAAAGTACAGAAATAAGACACTATGAATCAAAAGACGTACTCAAAAAGTTAGCTGATCAATATATATCTTTTCTTTTTAGTATACAAATACAGTTGCTTTGCTTTTAAATGTCAAGGTAAATAAAATTGTGGGGCATACATTTCCTGTCTTGTACATCCTCCGACTGTCTGTCTATCTATCTATTTGTCTGTGTGCAAAAACTTAAACCTTGTCTATAGTTTTTAAAGTTCCAAAATATTGAATTTACAAAAATGTGTAGATTTGCAGAATTTCCTGCTAAATATCCTTTCATCACAATAAATAGTCCCTCATAAATTTTGTTTCTTTTAAATATGATTTTTTTTATCGCTGTTTTAATTGAAAATCGAACAATTGTTGAATTTATTTAAATTAATAGGTTAAGACTGAACTTTTCTAAAAAGCTGATTAAGATATTGATTCAATTATTAAATAATGAACAATTTACAGGTGCTTGAGAAATCTGAATCAAGTCAAAGTCTGTGTACTTGAGAACAAGATGAAAATGTGAAAAACTTATAATAAGGACAGCTAGGCAACATATATCTGTTTATCAAAACAGTTAATCCGAGTTCATCTACATAAGAAGGGCTAAAATGTAGGCTCCGTTGTGGGATGAAACGTATGTCTGGCAAACAGAAAATTTAATGTACGATTGATTGACTGATTTCACTTTGCTTAACGCCGAATCGGCAAACATCTCAGCCATGTTTCGGTAGGTATATTATTTTTAAATGATCAGTCTTTGGAATTTTGTGGTTTCAAAAATCCATGGTGGTCCCATGGAAAAAAAATGAAATTAAAAAATTGATAAAATTTTTCTTATTTATTTAAAGCCGTTGATTAAAGATATCTTTAATCCCTCTACATTGAAATAATAAATAAATATCGTTTCCGTCTATTGAGGTCTGCATATTACCAGGGTTTTGCCAAAATTATTGCAGCCCGGAGGACCGGGCTGCTCTATACATATAAGTTAAAGTGTTGGTATATGGGGATTAAGGTGGGAGAAGTTATTCAGAATTAAAGGTTTTCTAAACATCAAAAAGATTGTAATTCAGAATGTTCTTTCCTTTTATAAATTACGAAATATACAATATATTTACTTTCAAAAAATGAATCTGTAAAAAATATATATGTTTTTCATATTTAATATATAGAGTTGCTTATCATTTACTATCGAAAAAACGACAGGTCCCTCTTTTTAGAACATCGAATTTTACTTATCGCATAAAAACGTACTTTACACATTTCGTGTTTTATATTCTTAAAGTTAAATACATTTTTGAAAATAGGTGATGCGTGTTTCTGGTTTCAATTTATATTTTATGCAGCCAACATTTACTTGAGGAATTGACAAAGTTTAAAAGGGGAATCATTTTTGTTCAATCTTTATCTGGTTCTTAGACTCGACTATCGTCTCCATAATTTAGATGCATGCCTTTTTCACACATATCGAAGCAGTTTGATGATCAAGACTCATTTTTATTGTTCGCGTTATTTATTTCCCGGGCGACAATTGATGGTTACATCAATGTTTTCTTGTAAATAATTACATTCATGTTTATTTCATTCGCTGTTAGTTTCCAGTTTTCCTTTATAGTCAAATGAAAATATTACCAATAATTTAACGGTATTATTTTTTTAATGCAAAAATTAAGAAAAATATACCTTTTAAGTCAAATTTGGAAATAAGTACGCCTTTGTGATTACTTTGACTTGTTTTGCTTGTATCAATGTGGCTGAAATAATTTCCTTCTATACTGCTGCTTGGTCCCGTTTCTCTGCCAGGAGTTATTTGACCATTCTGTCCAAAAGAAATTTTAATGTTACTTTGATTGGAATAAGTGTAGTTAAAATGTATCAGTAATAAATATCAATTACATTTATTTTATTGATTCTGTTTGCTAATCTGGAGTAAAGATGTTCACGGTAAAACAATTATCATTTTTTCAAAAAGTATAACTATTATGATTTATACATTTACATATTACCTTATTATAAGTATAATTAAAATTCAGACGTGAGTGATAATTTTAAACAATCATTTTTTGAACATTATCCTTGGGAAAGTTGCAAGTTCATTAACTGCTAGTATAAAACTCTTAATACCCTTGTAATCTTCCAATTGAAATTGTCACGGTTGCTTTGATCAAAACAAGTATCTTTGTTTCCTTCAAAACCACATTTTAAATTCCCCAACATGTATAGAACTGTTGAAAATGTGTTTCCTAAAACAATAATATAGGTTTAAAATATGTAAAAATGGGTCCTTATTTGTCTTATAATATACATGACGATGTCACAGTATAATTCGACGCTGTGGAATTGTAAATTATTAAGGTATTCATATCATATTTATTTAATGATAAATTAACTAAATTTAATTTAATGTAAAATACAAACAAACACCCTGTTCAGGACCCTAGTTTTTCCTATGACTCATTGAGAATATGAATCCTTCGATTGTTATTCTAGATTTAGAATATTGGTGACAATATTTATTTTTGAAAACCGTCCATTATCTGCGTTAAATGGCATGTACATGATAATAATTCCCTATAGTTAATTACTTTTATTTGTATTCTTTATATATTGAAAAGTTAGACCCCCATCCCTAAGGCAGCATGGCTTACATAAATAAAAATAAGTCAAACACATGGAAATTCAAACTATTCATCCTTTACAAAATGGGATGAAGCTCTGTAAATTGTAATTCAATTTGCCAAGACGAATATTGCGTTTGTATTGGTTTTGTTTATTTTTATAGCACCGATTATAATAGAAGAAATACCGACCAATGCAACTCGGATTTTCTGCAAGAAATATTTCTATATGCATCGGTATTCTTCAGGTTTATCAACTTATGGAGATAAATATTATTTTACTGTATTTTAATCTCTTTTTCTTTCTTTCTTTTTTTTTTTTTTTTGTTTATTTTTCTTTTTTTTCTGGTTGTTTGTTGACGTGTTCAATAAATTATTTATATAATGTTAGGATAAATTCATAGAATATTTATTTTCAACAATTTTTTTCTTTAAAATAGTGAGAATATCATAGTGAATAATAGATGTCTGAATTTTTTATTTGGTCATAAAAGGGGAATTTCAAAGTTTAAATACGCAAAATCATTAATAAATCTTTGTGCTTTTCCTAATTTCTAATGGTTTGCTAGCAAATTAAAATACTTCTCCTGAGGATAATGACTAAACGCTCGCACCGCATTTTCCTTTTGTAAGTGTAATGTCATCCAAAGCAATGTTTGTTTCTTTGGTACCTCGAATATAATCAAAGAAAATCTGAAAAGAATGAGTACCAAAATTTTTTTCAAAGTTAATAAGTCGACATCAAAAACAAAATTTAGAAAATGGGGAAAAAATTGAAAACAATTAAAAAGGGTTAATTCTAGAATTAACAGACATAATCTCAGTACAAATCAGCATTATCTAGATTTTTAAAATATATTTTGAAAAATGGAAAATTTTTAAAAATTAAAATCTTTTTTTAAAAAAATTACATAATGTCAAACATGGTAAATAAATCTACTATATCTTTTCGCTGAACTCGGATATCATTCTCGAAATACTTCCATTCACTATATTGACCGGCGGAAATTGTTTGATTATACAAAACATCATCACAGTTCTTGATGTAAAATTCTAAAAATCCACCACTACTTATATTCTGAAGGTAAATCCAGAACCGTAGACACCAATCGCTGGCTTTAAAGTCTGTAAGCAGAATGTAGATGTAGGTCTTAAAACAGAGCTGAAGAAAATTGATGACAGAGAAAATTATATACTTTACGGGTTTTTTTTTTCGGATTGGGGTTATTGCTGTAAACCAATTTTTATTCGCGTGCGAAAAATTTTGGCGGGTTTAGCGAGAGCCTCGTAATTGCGAATATTTCTTGCCGCGAAGAACCGGACTTTAATGTTTATGTGCCTCATAACAACAGATCCAAAATAGGCTTAATCGCGAAAAAAATTAATCGTCGCGAACTACATTCATCCCGGTAAATCGCGAAATAAAGTCGCCAATAAAAGTTGATTTACAGTATTCTGTCACATTTACTCTGTACGTATGCTTTTATTTGCATAAGACTTAGTTATCCTGTAGGGGACCTTTTTTATCTATCCTTTATTCCTCAGTTGTTAGAGGCTATTTAACGGACACAGTTGAGTAAATCAGTCTCTTTCCTTGCCGTGTTACGTTAGAACATGCACGGTTCATTTATGCTTAATAAAAAAAATTGTGAATTCCATATATATAGTCAGATAAATTTGAGTTCAGTCTTATAAAAGTTAGCTTAAAATACAATACCTTTGATACAGACACTCAGTTTCTGAGGTAAGTACAAGTTTTATTTATTCATTAATTCAGTTTTTGTTAATTTTAAGGTCCTGGATAACTTTGTTCAAATGGCATGCTTTTGATTGTGTTAAATATTCTGTAAATGTTGCAATTTTCACACTGTAAAAAGATACAACCTTTTATTCAAATTAAATTACAGGTAAATTACAGTATTTTACTCTTAAAAACGTAAGAAAGGATTATATTTGCTTACAGAATCACTGATCATGAGTTGACCAAAGAAATGATTACTTTAAATGATTCTGGTTATTCTTGTTTCATCAACTTGTTTTCCATTTGTCATTTTGTAAATTTTGAATTTACCGGGTGGCAGTAATTACAACATGACAACGTTGTCATGTTGTAAATTTTGTATTTACTGCCACCCGGGAAATTCAAAATTTACAACATGACACTTTCCTCACGATAAGTAAAAATAGAAAGCAAAATATCTAGTTTTTTTTCTTTAATAATATTTTGAAATTCCATCAAATGGTATTATACTTGCATATTATATCTTGAGATTTTGTTTGTAGGTTAAGACAGAGGTTATTGTTATTATGACTGTGTACGTGTAAGATTGAAAACTTTTCCGATGAGAAATAGGAATTAGGAAATATGCTTCCTAAAAGACTAGTTATTTCATACTTTCTTATGAAGCTCCATTGGCGGGTGTGACCGATTGATAGGGAATACCTTCTTTACCTTATATATACTTCCTTATAGATTAAAAAAAAATCTAATGAATCATATCCACGAGATAAAGGGGGTAAATATCAAATGAGATTGATCACATTTATTTATGTTCGGATGTACTGGACTAAGAAACAACTACTCCAACACATACCGGGAAAGTCTATATTTGACCTCAGAGATGCTCGACTTCTCTTCTGATAATCACCACTGCTGTCATTAACAAATGCAAAATATGATCCTTGATAAGCTTCCTGTTGTCCAATTGTTGTTTTGTCCTGAAAAAAAAAAACAGATTATGATTTGTGCTATATTTCATTAGAATACTTGGTGGATTTTTCTTCTAAATATTTGTGCTGTTGTCTGTAAAAGCAATTTTCTGAAAAGTAAAAGCATATTAGTGATAAAATGTTTATTCGTAAAAATCAAGTATTTAGAATACATATTTAACAACCTACTAAAATGTAAATTTTAGAACAAGAGGTTTACAATAGAGTATCACCATACATACGCTAATTGTCCAATCGAAGTTATCGTTTTTCACTTGAGAGAGAAAACAGGGATCTCCACTTTCAAATGTGCAAGAGAAAAAAGTACCTGGAAGAATATAAAAGAAATAAATTTGAGTAGGAAACTTTTAATTTTATTTAGTGAAATTTATTGATTTTTAGTATATATTTTACTTACTACAAGCTGCTTCTTTGACTTCTTCAGAGCTACAGTCCACGTCTTTGTAGAAATATTCGTTAGTTACAGGCAAACACTGATACGAGAGACAGGAGGTATTCAAGTCTGGGTTAATTTGATGTTGTCTCTTATTAAAGAAATCTTCTCCAACTGTAATGCCAAAATTATGATATTTCATTTCAAAAAAATATTCTTAAGAATAAAAACAATTGACTTTTCATTCAAATAGTGTATGTGCAAAGAATATAAAATATTCAAAATAACCAATGTACATTTTATCCAGGAAAAGGACTTTACCGACAGAGTACACATTCATAGAATCTTTTCCTCCACAGTCAAATTTATCCTCGCATGTAATATTGCATGCTTTGGCATCCTCGCTTTCCATAAAACTGAAATTGTCGTCTAAACAAGCACACCACGTATTCTATAATCCAGAGAGACGTTAAACTATGCTTTTAACTTTTAATAAGCAACATTCTGCAAATTAAGATAAAAATTTTTGTTAAACGTTTTATGACAGCACTGTATTTATACTTACCATGATAGCAAATGCAGATGAATTGGAGCACATATCTTGACAATCCAGTATAGAGGGTTTCATTAAACTTGAAAAGTTAAGTCTTTTTGTATTTCTGAAGCAACCTTTGAACAATTGTAAAATAAGAAAAGGTTTCAGTGAAAAATAAAGAAATAGCAAAATTTTGAAAAATATATTTAGATAGTCCCTTATATTTTAATAGATTAATTGCCCATCATTGCTCTATAACTGAATTTTGACAGATTTGATAAGCGTTGTGATTTTATGCAATAATGGTTCAAATCAAATAATAATTTAAATATTTAAAGTCAAATGTATTGTTCCAAATTAAGCAGTACGATGCTATATGTCTCACCCATTATGGATAAATATGGTGCATATAGAAAGGAACTTGTCCATAATTCTGTACTGCTTTGGTTACATGTCTCTATAGACGTAATACCTTCCTTACTGAGAGCTGACAATACCGAATTATTCTGTTCACAAAAGTCAAGTGCATCACTCCATGTCATTTCCTTTTCAACATAGATATACTCCTTTTCTAAAGACGCTAAATAACGACAAAATATGTAATTTTCTTCAATAGATATTTACAAACGAAAAAAAAGAAACAAATTGTGCTTTTCAAATAGTTTAATCAAAGACCATAACAATTTCATGAGAAAATATTTCATTTTTAAACTTCTTCATCAGTAAGATCCAAAATAGTGGGGTTTTTGTTGCACTTTGGACAATACAGTTTACATGTAATACATTGAAGAGTCAATACTTTAGAATCTTTCCAGTGAAATTAGAGTACCGGAACCTTGTTTCCATCTTTTGGGCGGTTGCTGAATAACAAGGTCTCATTTTAAGGCTTTCATGAAAAGAACCATCATTTTCTATAAGTGAGATGGAAAGGAGTGGGCGTGAATTTCCCAGCTTCAAATCAGAATAAAGTATCACTAGCTTCATACCATGACAAATATGGGGAAGATACAACCATCGAACCAGCATACATGTAGAATTAAGTTAAGCTTATACAGGAAGTAAATGATAAAGTAAATGTTTTCAGGAAGTATACAAATATACTGATAAAATAATTCTGTGTTGTTATCTTCTTTTATCTAATTATCTTAACATTTATCTTATAAATTCAAACATTGAAAGTTAATGTTTTATCCATAAAATAGCTAAAATCAATGTGATGTTGGTTAAAGTTATGAAGCCCTACACTCATCCAAACTTATCATAAGGCTTCCCGGATCTTAATCATGTTGAAAAAAACTATTCAAAAATCCCTTTTCGTTTTCGGAATTGTTACGTAGAAGGAAATATGAAGTCAAGTAATCATATGGGAAATATATAAGAGAGAATGAAGATTTCGTCTGCTCTTCAGATAGTATACTGTCATTGCTAGTAGTTCTGAATTGACTAAATAGAATGAAACACAAATGAACACTTACCGGTTGTAGTTTGAAATGGAGGTATAAAAATCAAAATAAATATCCATATGCCCGACTCCATGGTCTACATCTACATATAAACGCTGTGTTATGGTCTATCAAAGAGGTTAACAAATGCAGCACAATGATGTTCTATTATTCATCACTGGTTAATGGTTATACAATTCAAACAGTTGACTTTTGTGTAGATAAAATAAATCTTGATCTTCCAGGAAGTAAAAAATGAGATTTATACAGTACATTTTCCGGTTTGGTATTATTTGAAGGAAATAACTGCTGTAATAAAAAAAAAGCATAGGCAAATAGGACATTACGATCAGACAATTCACCTTTGCCTTGCTTTTGTGTAAAAAGAAAATTGTCCGTCTTTTTTTAAATGAAAAAAGACCCCCCATCCCACCCCAACAGTATTCCATAACTGACCTCAAGGCGTTTTACTGAACGTTAACACCAATTCAAATGCATCAATATAACTAACGTAGCCTTGTACATGTAGTTTATGATTATATAAAAGCAATTTGCTCGACATGAATTTCTTCTCTTACATGTACTAACGACTATCTTAACAACAAGGTCCATAAAATCCAACAGCATAGGAGCATTTGAATGGAATGCTAAATAAAAAGCACATTCAAATATTTGTACTTATCTTCAACTTATTGCAGCCTGGAGGACCGGGCTGCACTATACATATAAGTTTAAGTGTTTGTATATGGAGATTGAGGTGGGAGAAGTTATTCAAAATTAAAGGTTTTCTAAACATTAAAAAGAATGTCAATCAGAATGTTCTTTCTCGTTATAAATTACGAGATACATTATATATTTACTTCCATAAAGGGAATTTGTAAAAATATAAATGTTTTTGATATTTAATGTATAAAGTTGCTTCTCATTTACTATCGAAAAAATGACAGGTCCCTTTTTTTAGAACATCGAATTTTACTAATCGCATAAAAACGTACTGTACACAGTGCTTCATATTCTTAAAGTGAAATACATTTTTGAAAATAGATGATGCATGAGTCTAGTTTCAATTTATATTTTATGCAGCCAACATTTACTTGAGGAATTGATTAAATTTAACAAGGGTATGATATCGTTTTTCTTCGATTTTCATCCGACTGCAAGTTTTCAAAATATTCTCGACTATCGTCTTCATCATTTAGACGCATGCCTTTTTCACACATATTGAAGCGGTTTGATAATCAAGACTCATTTCCATTGTTTACTTTATTTATTTCCCGGGCGACAATTGATGGTTACATCAATGTTTTCTTGTTGTATCTATTTTCAATTAAATCAATTTTACTTACCGTTTATTTTGATAGGTTCAATTGTTGTGAAGATGTATAATTGATTTGAAGATAGTACAAATGCCATAAGTTGAAGATATGTTTAACTTATCAATAGATAGTTGCAACTGAATAGAACATATCTTTAATTATAAAGATACTGACAATAACTAACCAATAAAAGTACTTTGTACAGTTCTCCCTCGTTCAAGTCGCTGTCAGGGGGAGTTTTCATTTTTTTCAATAACAGAAAAACAATTGAACCTAGGTACAATTGAATTAAATCTACCTTTAAATCTTTTGTGGATATGTTTCAATTGTATCCATCTTTAAATCAGTCGCACCTACCTTTAATTCAATTGTTGCTTTTTTAATTCAAAATTTTAAATGTTCCTATCTTAAATTCAATTATACCTAATCTTCAAAAGAATTGAAGATAGGTACAATTCAACTGAACCTTACCTCAGTTGAATTGAAGAAAGAAAGAAGCAAATTATTTGAACCTAAGTTTAAAAATTTAGAGATTGGTATAATTATTTACGTCTATCTTTAATTCATTAAGACCTATCTTTAATTCAAGTGTACACCTATAATGTCTATCTTTAATTCATTTGAAGATAGTTTTAATTTTTTAAAAGATAGGTACAGTTATTTGAAGTTAGGTTCAAATATTTGAATATAAGTTAATTTGGCATTCCATACATATGCAAATCACTGTGATTTATGTGGTCTTTCTGCTTTTAGAAATATTTCTTCTTAATAATTTCCTTGTAAAACTTGGATTTCATATTGAAACACAACCATAACAGTCGGGGGTCGTGTGTATTGTGTATTGTTCAAACCCAAGCAGCCTTCCCTTATTGTGGTTTCCAACTATATACCACTAATTATGTCTTTTTATTTCTATGTTAGAAATATTTTAAGACTTTGATTAATGTCTTTCTTCCTATTTCATTCTTTCCCTGGGACAATAATTTGCAAACAAGAATATCTGCAATCTCGTTTAATGTCATCATTTTGTCAGTTCAGTAGTCGATACAATGACATTGTCAGCAAATACAATTTATTATTGAGTCTAATGCTGACTTACGTTTTTCATATTAATTGTTAGGCAATTATTCACGCACTGAATTGACGACGGATGTTCCCGTTATTTCACGATCATGACAAGGAGCACACGGCGGGTATGACCAGTCGGCAGAGAACCTCACTCCTCGATTGCACCTGATCCAAATCTGATGTTCTGGAGGTCAATTTTTGCTCCGCTTCTATTTTATATTGTGTTATGGGCTTCTGAGCTTGAAAACTGTTAAGTTTTTTCCCCATATATTTCATTCTAAACTATTTGATGTTTGCATTATAAATACAGTCAATACCTTCCTAATCTTTAAAAGAATTTTTATTGGTTTTTCTCTCAGAAAAAAAAAACAAATGTATCATGAATATTGAACAAACTTGACTCTTCTCTACCTGAGCATGCTTCCATACTGATATTATTAATCATGACCCAATTTTCTCTGAAGAAATATTGAATATTACCTTAAATTTTTTTCTCCTATTTACTTTGATTTATTGTGATCTAGCCTTACCCAGGTAGGGCTATGATTTGAATTACTCAGTGACTTGTATCTATACTACCTGAGCATGGCTGCATATACATTAAAATGAATGCTCGTAGTTCTGCTTGAGAAGAATTCTTTTCACCGAATTTTTCCCCGTGACACCAAAGAGTTTGCCACATTTGTTTTATATTTGGATGTTTTACTGTCTGAAGACGTTAATGACAAACTTACAACTAAACTTTGAAATAAACAGGACGATTTCAACTTTTTAAGGTTACTTTCCCTTATTTATACAGAAATATTCAATGCAGTGTCATCTGTACACTGTAGATACAAGATGAATATGCTCCTATATGTCACATTTGGGACTGGGACGAGGTGCGAAGTATCAAATCTCAGTCCTGTTTCTGTCATATAGGACCGTCTTCGTCTTAATGATAAGTGAAAATTTTCGAGTGGTGGTCAGTTTCCTACAGAGGGCACATACATGTTGAGAATCTGACCCCGAATTTTTTTCTTTTAAACCAAACTTAAACAGCTGAAATTAAAAAAAAATAATAATAATAAGGGGAAACACATTTCTTTCACCCATATCAACATACATTTACTTATTTGGCCCTGTTTCTGAAAAATCAAAACCGCTCATTTTAGGTTGCAAATCCAGTATTTATCACTTGGAATGTTGGTGACCACGTATCTGTAAATAGTGACGTAATTTCCCATCTAGTCAATGCATTATGACGTCATAAAATGTGTCATTTTCCTCATATCATGTAAATTCCTTTGAAAATGACCTAACGTTGAAGCATTTTTTCAATATTTTACATAGAGCACAACCTCTGATCTAAAATATGCAAAGACAAAATGAAAGCTCTGTTTCTGAAGATCAAAAAACATGTTTTATTTTTTGGATCGTGGGCTGTGCTCATCTTTTAATTCTTTACTGAATGTAGTCAAATACGCATGTTTTCTGCAAATTTCAAGAACATTGCAATTTCTCAAACCTGTTTTCCAATATCTGGATTCTCAAAACGAAATTTTATTATGGAAAATGATAGCACCAAGTGTCTACTTTATTTTGATATATATGAAATGGGAAAGATGGTGATAGTTAATTAATTGATATATATACGTACAGGGCCATTTTATGCATAAGATGACTCTTGCTCTTTGCCATCATTTTACATACGTTTAACATCTTTTATACATTTATTTGATTAATTACCTATCAAATAACTAAAATAAGCTTACAGTGACTGTAAGATGGATCTTATTAGTTATCCAGGTTCGATCAAGGGTGTACGGGGATTTACCCCGGGTTTTATTCCATACACCCTGAGGCCGAAAGCCGAAGGGTGTATGGAATACAACCCGGGGTAAATCCCCGTACACCCTTGATTGGACCTGGATAACGAATTTATTTCCTTTGTATCCATAAAAATGCTTTGTTAACATCAAAGTGTGTCTCAATCTATCATTCTAATGCAATAGTTTTGTAAAACACTTTTTGATTGGCTAATGCACTGATGTTTGAAGCAGTAAAACGAGCATTAACGAGCGTGAAAGCTTTTTCACTGTGACGTCATAATAGAGCGACGCAAAAACACAATGCTCCGTGACGTATTTCTTGTAACAAAATTCATCAAAAAAAGACGTAAACAACCAACAAAATGCATGGATTGCATTAGAATGGGAATAACTAATCTTCTAATTTGGTATTTGCGACCGTTAATGCTGATTTAACGGTCGCAAACATCCGTTTTACCGGCTCCGCTTACGCGTCGCCGGTAAAACTCAGTTTGCGACCGTTAAATCAGCATTAACGGTCGCAAATACCAAATTAGAAGATAGTTATTCCCTAAATTAGATAACTACGTACTACAATGCATCGTGATGTCACGTTATTTGGTTTTTATCATAGAGAATGTATGCATTGTGACGTCACGTTTTATTTACACCCGGCTCAAGTCGGGTGCACGGATATTCACACCCGACTTTGTAACCAATCAAAGCTCGTGTTACAAGCTAGATAGGAAATAATAGGGTGTACACCAATAGCGTATTTAAGAGTTATTTAAGGAATGTTTTTAAGTTTTGTGTGAGTTATTGGTGTGTGAATTACACAGACTTGTCACGTAGGCATATTTCATGAAGCGCGCTAGCGCTTCATGAAAAATATGCCTACGTGCAAGTCTGTGTGATTCTCACACCAATAATTCACACTAAACTTAAAAACATTCCTTATATTTACATTTTACATGTCTGGAAGCATCGAAAATATACTCAATATTTGAATTCCTCGCTGCCCTATTGCTATACCTTTACTAACGTCGCTGTAGCCCTATTGTGACGTCACGGTAACGCACGTTTCTCCGTGTATATTTCTACGCG